ACTGTACTGCTGGGTCCGTCCAGTTCGTGATGCTGCAGCTTCTGCATGGACATGGGGGAGATGTCAGTTGGGCTCTGGGTGTGGAGACACAGGGGATGCTGGGTCCCAGGGAAAGATGTAGTCTGGTGGAGGCTGAACTGCTTTGGTCTAGGTGGTGTGTGGAAACCAGCACAAGCTTTCTCTCTGGAGCAACGTCATTGTGAACTCCTGGCAACTCCCACAAGGGCTAAGGGTGTTCCCCATGGCTGGAGATTACAGAAGTCGGCAGTGGGAATGTGGACAACTGGAGATCTCTCACTTACCTTTTCCTGTACTGGGAGTTTCTTCTGGCTGAGTTGGTGCTGGCTAGGCTGGGTGCTTTGCTTCCATCTTCTTTCATGCCTCAGAGATTACTCACTTCCCTGATGACTCTCGTGTTCTTTTAAATGCTCTATTTAATGTGTGATCATCTCCTCACTGTTTTGACCCTTCTTTGTGGAGAAGAGTGCTGGGTGCCTCTAGTCAGCCATCCTGAAGTCCCTGTCTCTGAATGTACCAAATACTGTTTATAGTTTAGGGGGAAAAGATGATCGACTAAGTTTTCTCCTTCTAACTTTGATTGGCTTAACGTCCTCTCCTGGGCAACCCACATCAGTCTTTCATGACAAGGAGCACAGTAAGGTAATATATGAAGTAGTATATATGTGAAACCCCTTGGCTTCCTTCTTTACATGATCATAGTCTGAAAGACAAAGAATACATGGAGAATGTGTCAAAGAAAACCCCTTCCCTTCCACTCCTCTAGCTATACCACAGACCTAGACTCCTCACAGCTGATCAAAGAGGTGAGTTCATTTCCTCTCCCACTGTGCTTTGACTTATCTTGTTCAAGGAATTGTGGAGAGAGAGCAGAGGATTTTAAACATTTGTCAATTATCCACTAGTTGTAAGCTTGGTATAAGCATTGAGTAGTATAATTTCCATTTTCTAGTTGAAGAAACTAAGATTTGAGATTAGAAAGTTTGCCTGAAGACACATAACAACTAGCAGACTTGAGCAAGGTTGTTCTTCAAAGCCCATGGTCCTTCCATGATGCCAGCAATATATAGTTATGCCCACATGCATCGTGCTCACACCTACTGTGCTCTCGTCCTTGGCATTCAAAGAAAATTGAAGTTAACTGCTATGGACTGAACGTCTGTATCTCTTTCAAATTGTATGTTGAAATCTAATCCCCAAGGTGGTAGTGTTTGAAGGTGAGGCCTTTGGGAAGTGATCAGGTCATGAGGGGGGAGGCTTCACGAGTAGAATTCGTGGTCTCAGAGAGACCCCCTCACCCCTTTTGCCAAGTAAGGTTATAGCAAGAAGATAGCTATCTGTGAATCAGATGCTCACCAGACACTGAATCTAATAGTGCCTTGATCTTGGATTTTCCAGCCTCCAGAACTTTAAGAAATACATTTCTATTGTTCACAAGCCACCCAGTCTGTGGCATTTTGTTATAGCAGCCTGAACGGATAAAGACAAGAATTCAAACGACTAAGGATCATTTTAGCTGATAAATGATTGGGCAACTGGGTAGAAAGGCTGGTATAGCACAAGTCAGGAGAAAACTTTAGGGCCAAAATGGAGGGTCTGCTCTCCCTTCCTACTAAGTGACAAAAGAGGGGTGGAAGATTCCTGTCTTATGATGAAGCATATTAAATAGGATACTGACCTGCCATGGAAAAGGACTCAGAGGTACAATGCAGACGGAGGCACATGTACTAAGAGGGAGGCTGTGTTTCTTTCCTATGGTTTGACAGAAATCGTCCAAGGTGGGATTGGAATCATGGTGATGAGAACTGGGTTAGTATCTTTCCTGGGTCCCTGAGTTTCTACTTTGCATGGAATTTATTTCCATGAGTCGAAATTCAGGAGGCATGGGAAAGCCATGGGAGCCTTAGACGATAAATGTTTTCATTGATACATTAGAAAATGTCTGAACCACTTTTTTTTTTTTTTTTGAGTTGGTGTCTCATTCCATTGCCTAGGCTGGAGTACAGTGGCATGCTCATGGATGCCCTGCTGGGCTCTGGCGATCCTTCCACCTCAGCCTTCCAAGTAACTGGAAGTACAGATGCACAATACCACATCTGGCTAATTTTTTTGATTTGTTGTAGAGACAAGGTCTCACCAAGTTGCTTGAGCTGGTCTCGAACACGCAGGCTCAGGCCTCCCAAAGTGCTGGGATGACAGGCTTAGCCACTGAGCCCGGCCTGAACCACTTCTTAAAATTAGGTAATGATGCCGACAGCACACATCACCCTTGCCAGGCAGGGCATCCCCTTCGTGTGAAAGCAAGCTTCAGGTCATTAGTTCCTGCAGCCAGCTGCTCTGCACACATGGGTGCGGGCGGGGGAGTCAGGCTGGAGGCCTCTGCCACGGCTGTTCTGGAGAACAGCCGAGCATTGATCCACTGACATCCACTCACAGCCCTCCATGCTGTCCGCACTGGCTGGCCTCAGCATGTGAGGAACAACGGCCTCCTCAGCCACCTCTGTGCACAGGTTCCGCATCCATCTTCTCAGGTCTGTTTCTCTGCTGGCCGATCCCGTCTTCCATTCCAGAAGCTGCTCAACACTTTTGTTCTTGCACTTTTTTTTGCCTTGACAGATGCTGTAGATTTTTAAAGTTCAGTGAAATCTGGGAAGGATAGGTAGAACTCAGTTTGCCCTCTCAGAGCTTGGCCTCTGGCTTGTAAGTGACCCTCGCCCTCATTTTACTGGGGGAAGTTGGCCCAGTGGCTGTGCCGTTGAGCAAGTTGCTTCATCTCTTCAGGCTCACTTCTCGTCTGCATGGGGGCTTAGATGAGATTAGTGTCAAGCCTGTCCTTGTAACAGACCCCTTCTTACTAAGTAAGACTGAGAGCAGTACTGCAATACATAAACTAAATTGGTATTTTCTTTTTCAGAATATGAAATGCTGAAGGGGAACTAAAATATTTTGAGATAAAAGGTCACGGGGGAAAGAGTGCAATAGGGTCTTTTGGGGCCTACACGCTGCTCCAAGTGGCCCAGGCTTGTAGAGCTGGCCACGCAGCGAGGAAACAGACAATCTGCAGAAGCGCCTCGGAGCTTTGAGGAAAGATCAAGGCTGAACTGCACACTCCCAGCTCCAGGGCAGCGTTTAGAAATCGCTCAGGTCAGCAGTCCTGGGTTCTGCTGTCAGATGCGCCTTAGAAGGGAAGTATGTCTGATGAGTGAGCGAACCTCAGCTGCATGCTGGAGGATGGGCCTAACACAACACGGTCTAGGACAGAACCACCCCAGAAAGGACCAACATGGGGTCCGAGCCAACTGCAGCTGCAGGTGAACATGTATGAGACACACAGGAGCAGCTATCAGTGGCCACTCACCAATGTGGAGGCAGGTCTTGGTCCCAAGGGCTGCATGAGGCCCAGGGTGTCATGGGACAGGCCTGAGAAGAAGCTGATGCTTTCCTGCTAAAATGGGTGGCCGAGACTCAGACAGAGTTTGGGGAAATCTGACCAGAATTTTGCCCAAGACTAGTGAAAAGGGAGGTTGAAGATAAACTAATCTTTACCTTATTCTAGGGTCAAAGTGATTATCCATGCTTTCAGATACAGTATATAACAGTGTCAGAGAAAGCACATTAGTTTTTTTAATGATTTTTATAATAGTAAAAATAGTTGTAGAATTTAGTGGGTTTCTGAGTGATCACTGTAACTTTTTCCCCAGTTCTGATGAATGCTTTAAAATTTTTATGACGAAATGTTTAGAAGTGGTATAACAACATGAAGTGGACCGTTTCTGATTGGTCTTTTTTTGTTTGTTTTGAGTCGAGGTTTTGCTCTGTCACCAGGCTGGCATGATCATGGCTCACTGCAGCCTTGACCTTCTGGGCCCAGGTGATCCTTCCACCTCAGCCTCTCAAGTAGCTGGGACTACAGCTGTGTGCCACCAAGCCTGGCTAATTTATTTATTTATTTTTTGTAGCTATGGCCATGCTATGCTGTCTAGGATGGTCTTGAATTCCTAGGCTCAGGCAATCCTCCCAACTTGACCTCCCAAGGTGCTGGGATTACAAGCATGAACCACCGTGCCTGGCCTCCAATTGCCTTTGAAAGGAGACAGATCAGCACAATATGTAAGCAAAATTTAAGCTCTTTCAAAAATCACATATGGTGCCGAGTATTCAGGGGATTTATCTTCTACTTGAACCATTTTGTAAGCATGCACTGAAGAAAACACTATGATAAAGAGTGTTAAGTCATAAGAATGAATAACAGAGCTGGGAGAGTCACCACCCATCTTTATTGTGCCTTTCAAGGCAGCCATCTTCAAATATGGGCTGAGCAGAAGTGATGTGTTTTATCACCAACTCTGCCTCCCTTAAGAGAAAGATTTTATGAACCACTTATTTGGGGAGGGTTGGATCGAATGACACTAAGACACTTACTTCTCAGATTGCTCAATATACCAGTGTGTACGGTTGATTTCCCCAAGATGGACACAATGGAGGTACTCCAAACCTGGTCTACAGAAGACTTTTTAGGGGGAGGACCATGCTCTCAGACTAGAGTTTTAGGAAGGCAGAATATAAAACACCTTTTTACAAACTTTATCTCAATTAGTGATTCCTCGCAAATGAAATTTCACTGCAGCAGATACACCTGTTGAGAAGCGCCATCTCTGGCCAAGCAGAGCTGCCTTTAAAACGCAGGCTCCTCGACCGATGGAGACAGACCCAGCTCCAGGGTACCTTGGGTCAATATCAGCCATGCGTCTCCTCTGTCTTCCTACTTGCCTCAGACAGTTTTTTCCCCAGCTTGACTTTAAAACTGTTAGTGCAGCAGGAGTGCTTTGTGTTCTTGGACAATGCCCGCTGACCAGTTCTCCTGAGATGGGGTGCACCATCTGCCCCACCCACCTGGCCGGAAACAACAACCCGCTATTTCCCCTTTCCTGCTGGAAACTTCCTCGCGACCCTCTTTTTCACCCCCCAGTAAAACAAAGTACTTGACCAAATTTACTTTTATTTTGCATACATAGGAAAGAGGACCCTATCAAAAGAGGACAAAACAGAGAAATGAGCCAAACGTTGCAGAGGGAAAAGCATGCACAGATCTGTTTCACGTTGACTCCTAATCACAGACTACAGACTTCAACGCACCAGGAGCTGGCCTCACTCTAAGAGGTGGGTACCACCCACCAAAAGCAAGGAGGAAACGAGACTGGCTGGGAAACGTCATCACGTGTAGGACTTCCGTATATGTTATCGGTGTTTGCTGTAGTAGGATTCTAACCAGATTCAAGGGAAAACAAAGTTTATCTTACACAAAGGTGGGAATATAAAATTGTTGAGCCCTACCTACCATTCTGTCTCTTAAGAGCATTTGCTATAAAAAGATAAACAAAATTTTGTCATGGACATGTGGGTGCCTATTCAACTGCACCCTCACCCAACAACAGGGGCAGCTCTTAGTGTGCTTTATTACAAAGAGTAAAGGGCGAAAATGGTGTTAAAAATGCAAAACAAATGACCTGGAAGAAGAGGAACATTTGGACCCATGTAGTTGTCTTGGTTGTAAACAGCAAACGTTGTGCTTTGTCATCTCATTTAATGGAGGCCTAACGTGGAGAGGTGCCACCATCAGGGTGAGAGGTCAGAGGTCACATGAGAGTGGTCAGAGATACCAGCAGCAGCATCTGTGTTCACAAACTGTTTCGGAAGGTGTTGACTGTGTCCCCAAGCATTTCCCATAAAATTCCTCAGGAGGTTCTCAGATCCTTTGTCCTTAGAGTAAGTTGCTTCCAAGCAGCTACCTCGGCCGCTTCCCTATTCCTTGCTCCCTGCCTCATATAAATACCCAAGCAGAGTTTGAGCACCAAGGCTGTTGGTCCAGGGAAATAAAAGCCAGTCTGTATCCGCCCCAGTGAGATGTCTTGATGCCCCAGTTCAATAAGCAACAATTTCTCAGAGGCTCTGACTAGTTCCTTTAAAAAATAAGCACCTCCTCACCCCATTCCCTGTGATACTGCCCATACAGTAATCTAGGCATCCTGGCTACACTGCCTTGACACAACACATCAGACCTCAATCTGGGTTTAAATACACATCAGCACTGTGAACTATGCAGCAGAACAGAACTCCTTGCTGTCAACTACTCCGGCAATCCTGGGGTGAGATGTGATTCTTATTTGCATTTCCAACCACATCTTCTTTATTCTGATTTTGATTACACGGTCAGCGCAGTCCGGTTAGCACCTTTCTGCCTTTTTTTCAGCAAGTTCCTCCTTTTCAGAGCCCAACACACATCTGCTCAAATCAAACACAACCACCACTGGTCCTGGGCTCAGAATGGCAGTTGCGCCCTGATGGACACCTCAGCTGGTATCTCTTCCTCCAAGGGTTGATGTGACTTCTCAGTCCTCTGTTCTGAAAGGTGTCCATCAATACCTCCCACCACAGCTGCCCTGGAGAAGGGTACAGGAGTCCTCTAGCGTGAGGCCACTCTGGAGAGGCAGTGATGTCCAAGGAAGAAACATTCCCAGTCTGATCTCAAAGGACTGGAAGCAATACACACACTTCCATAAATGCAATGAAAAAGGAGGCGACTTTTATTTTTTCCAAGTCAGATTAAGACCTCATAAAATGCAACGTTCCAGTTTGGGGCAGGGAGCGATTTCTATGAATTTAAGTAACATTCCTTGGTGATCTTCAAATGACTGTAGCCATCCGATGCTGGTCTGAGACTGGACCTCCGCCCTGCCGTGGAGCTGTGCTTAGTCCGCTATTCCTTGGGGGTGCAGGGGAAGCTCATCTTCTGGACGTGAATGGAGACAGCAAAGTGCCAAGAGGCCTACTATCTCCTGAATGTTTCTCCAACAGCTTCTTAGAGATATGACTGATGGGAAGATGGGCTGGAACAGCTGACCCGCCAGCTGCTGCTTCATTGGCTGTGCTGCCTGCTATGTGTGGGGCTTTCCATCTGGTGGAAGGACGATTGCCCGGACTGCCTCAGCCTGGCCCCTCCACACGTCGCCAGCACCCCTGGCACTGCCCTTCTGCTCTCAGTCTCTCTCCTGTGGATCTGGGCATGCCACCCTAGGAAGTCAGCCCTCGGTGACTGTCACTACACTCTGCCACTTGAGAGCACAGATGACGTCAGAAACAGAAGCAACAAAGGAAACACAGTGCAAATTCAAATACTGTCCTCCATGGAAAGCCTGGAAGGAAGCTGTGCTTGCTTTGAAGATACCAAAGAGGAGTCTGCCCCAGTGGCTCATTAGAACATTCTCAGAAGCGAACATCGACGGGGACAGGAGAGGCCGGCAAAAGGCCCTCTCTGATCTTTCCTGCACGCTGGCGGTGCCCCGCTACTTGGCCTTCACCACCTGTTCATACGGGGGCGGGGGCGTGTTGCAGTAGGCAGGAGGGGGTGGGCAGGCTGTGCTCCCCTGCGGTGAGTTGGGTGGGACCTGAAAAGCCATTGCCATGGAGTTCCCAACAGGGTTCATCCCCAGTCCTCCTGGGTCAGTGTAATATGGCGGCCCTGGCTGCTGGACTCCTGCAAGACAGATGAAATAGATGAGCACAAAAGAGAAAACCTGCCCCCATCACACCCAAAGCACATGCAGGCCGGAGGGGCTGGCAGACCCTGCCCGGGTCACTCAACTACCGTGTATCAGGGACCCAAATGCCCAGTGGAGCAGAGAGCCTGGGGAGTAGTGACAAGCATCGCAACATGCAATCTCTGCTGGCTGGGCCCTGGTTCCACTGCAATTTGTTACATGTTTGTTACTGAGGCCCAGGCTAGGGCCGAGGAGACTGGGCCACAGGAAGGCACGGTGGTCTGCAGCCAACTGATGAGAGAAGCGGAAAGACCATCCTGGATTCCGGACTCTCAGCCCAGCATTAGCACTGGCAGTTAGTTCAACGACACCTTTGAAAAAAAAGAAGCCACTACAATACACAAGGCAAGAAACAGTGAAGGCCTTTGAATATCAGAGAAGAAATGGATAGGGGAGAATGAGGAACTGAGGGTGCAACTGATGCCCTGCCTGGACTAAACTTGCTACAGAATACGTAAGGATGGAGACAAGGGCTAAAAAAAAAGGTCTAGTTTGTGGGCTCAGAAAGGGGGTTGCCCAGTGCGGGGGAGTACAGGAGAAGGTGGATGGGATAGATAGAAAAGTCCATAGTGGGCTTTTGAGGGCCAAGGTAGCTTTGCAGTCTTCTGTGGAAAGGCAACGACAAAAACATGGGTGTAAAAAACCACCAAGGAAGGGAGGAAAGATGCGTCGAGGAGAAAGCCGTGGGAAAGATCAACATTTTAGACAGGAAAAGAGCATTTAACACGTAAGGCAGATGAGACGGGCACAAAGGTAACCGGGAAGAAATGATGGGAAGTAGTGAGTTCATGCAGCAAGGGGAAAGAGACATTTTAGGAAGACTGTCACTCTCTGAGGCCAAAAGAGGTGAAAACAGGGATTGCAAATCTTCAGCAGATGTGGAACATGGGAGTTCTTGTGCTCTTTCCCTGGAAGTTTTAGCACAGTGGTAGACATAGCTCCCACCAGCAGGAGAAAAGGAGTTCAGGGTTGAGGGGTGAAGACTGGTGAGGTAGCTCAATGGGATACTGAGCAGGAAAGGTGTATTATAAGGATGGGATGTGCTTGACACGTCAACAAGGGCAGGGAGAGATGCACACAACAGAGACAGGATTTTCAGAGACAGCACAGCTCAGTGAGGCCAAGGGTCTCTGGTTCAGCATTTGGGCCCCACTGCCTAGCTCAGAGCTGGTGCACCCGAGACATCTGCCAAACTGTGCAGTGTGGCCTCAAGAAGAAGCACAGGCTGCTCAGGGTGTGCAGGAAGGAACAACAGGTGCAGACCTCTATTCTGACTGCAAGCAGGTGCTGGGTTGTTATTCATTTGCTGACAGTGTTCTGGGGATAGGACAAATAGGAGATCTGAGCAGAGATTCCAAAGTCCACAAAGAAGGGAGGAGTGCACAGATGCTAGAAAAAAAAGTGACAAGGAGTAACAGGCCCAGAGGTATGAGATTCAGTGTACTGAGGACATTATGCACAAGGGTGACAGCAGGGAGCAAGGAGGTACCACTGCCATCTCCTTATCCTGCAGGGGGTGTGCCCTGGGAGGAGAGAAGCAGTCTTTCAATTCTGGGTAGATGCTTCAGTGAAAGAAAGAAAATACATAGTGCATTCTCAGAAGCTGAAGCAAGGAAGATTTTCTCCAGTAGAAAAGAAAGACAGGATCAGGAGAGGCAAGTAAACCATGGTAGCCATGTTGCTGCCTCTTCTGTTCTCTTAAGTGGTCAGAGCCCATCAGTCAGCTTCTGCCATAAGTGAACGATAGGGAAATGGGATGAGATGGAATGGGGTTGGTTTGGATTGAGATGGGGAGGAGTATGACATAGGATGGAATAAGAATGAGGATGGCACAGGATGGGATGAGATGAGGATGGGATGGGGATGAGGACAGTATGGATGGAGTAGGGATGAGGATGGGATGGGATGGGGTAAGGATGAGGATGGCATGGGAAGGTAATAGGATGACATGGAATGGGATGGGGATAAAGATCGCCTGAGATGGGATGAAGATGAGAATGGCATGGTATGTGGATGGGGATGAGGATCACGGGGAGAAGATGAGGATGAGGGTGGGATGGGATGGGAAGGGAATGAGATGGGTGGGGATGGGATGGGATGGGGCGGGTAATGAGATGGAATGGGGATAGGATGGGGTGAGAATGGGATGGGTGGGATGCGACAGAATGGGATACAGCGGGGATGAGAATGGGGATGGCTTGGGATGGGATGGTGATAGCATGAGAGAGGGAGGGGCAGGGATAAGGATAGCATGGGATGGATGAAGTGGGATTGGAGTGTGGACGTCTTCTCAAAGGATGTGAGGCTCAGGGAGGTATTCACCAAGGTCACACAATTGCCACTTGGCAGCACTAAGGTTTGAACCCAGCAGTGTCCCGGAAAGCCAGACTCTTCCAAATATGACATGGGTGTCTCACAACAGAACGGCGAAGGGTGAAAGAAGTTCATGCTCGAGAGGAATGGGAGTCCCAAAGGAGACTGGAGCCATGATGGGCCCACATTCTGGGCACCATCCAAGCGCTTAGGGCTTGACTAAGAACTGTCACGAGCCAGGTCTCCCAGGTGTGCTACACTCTTACTTCTGGCACGTCACCTGTCTCTGGGCGACATTGGAGTGTTTTATTCCTGAATGCCATCATCTCATTTTCTCCTTTCTCATCTCGCATAATTTGACAGGGAACTCCAGATTCAGCAAAAATTGGTAAGAGTATGCTACAATGTTAACTGACAACTGCACCTCCTCATTGGAACTGTCCCACCCACAGTGGACACCAATGGGAAGACCGAGCAGCCTGCTTCCCTTCCTTGGCATGACCTGCCACCTCCTGACCATGGCTGACTGACCAGCAGCTTGTGAAGGGAAGAGTCAGGCCCATCTTTCCTGGGGATGCAGAAGAGCGCGTCTGGCAGCAAAGGTTGGTGTGGAAATGCTGGAACAGGCAGTGGCAGCCAGAGCGGGCAGGTGGCTCATGGAGTATTTATTGAGTGGGCATCCACATGACTGCCAGACTTCTGACAGCATTCCTGTTCCATTAGGTTCCATTAGGTCTTCGCCATCTGCCCCTCCCTGAATTAGAGTGCGTGGACATCTATGCTCTCTCATTCCTCCTTACTGCCTGAGTCCTCACAGTTGAAGCCAGAGACCACGTCCTGACTTCCTCCCTCCATCCGCTCTGACCAGGCTGCTTCTTCTGATGTAGACAGGGTCTCAGCAAACAACAGCAAAGGCAGAGCTCATGTTTCCCTGGCCCTCAGCCTGCCCCTTTCCCCAAGTTCATCCCTACTCTTGGTAGGTGGCACCACACCTGCCCACTCACTCATGGGACTATAAGCCAGTCGCTTTCCTTGGGATAACAACCTCCATCATCAGGTTCCTGCCCTCTTCAGAGCTTACTTCTCACTGTCCTGCTTTATTCTTCATCTCCTAATAGCAAGTATTCCTCCCTGGGCCCTCACTACACAGCATCTCCTGGGCCTTCAAGCAGCAATTCCCTCCCCCTGGGGCACCCATCCCTACCTCCATGCAGTCCTCCTCCCCAACTCCTGTCTGGCTTACTCCCATTTATGTTTTAAGTCCCAGCTCAGAAACACCCCCCCCCCACAGGAAGTAGTATCTTACTGCCTATCACCACCTTTCCGACTGGAATAAGTGCCCTGTCCCTGTCATCCAGAACAAGGCACACCTGTTGGTATCATGCACTCACCACAGTGAGTGAGCTGTCCGCACTTGAGGACAGGAGATCATTCATCTCGGTGTCCTCAGAGCCCAGAATGGCACCCGGCAGGTGGCAGACATTCCATAAATCTGAGAGATTAATGACTGAAGGAGGGATGAATGGCATTTTGAACTTGGGTTTTGTGTTTGCCATATTGTGCTAGATGCACTTGGCAATTTACTGAGGCATACCTGTTTCTGATATGACAGGAGCAGCTGGCTGCCCCCGCTCAGCAAGCCTGTGCAAGCCCATTGCTACCATCCAGGGAGGACCCCGACTCCCTGTCACAGGCAAGGGTGGGACAGGAGTGTGGTCTTTGTAGCAGAGATGTGGCTTGGGCTGTGTTTGTAATGTCTCTGCAGTGTGGCTACTCACATTGGAGAAGAACAAGAGACACTGGCACCTGTGTCCAACTTAATTGATATTTTCATGTAAACAGTCACAACTTACAGGTATTGCCTGAAATCAGCGGGATGGGATTAAAATAGTTGAACAGGGAGACAAAGAGGAATGGGAGCACCAGGGGAGACTGGAGCCACAACGGGCCTCCATTCATAGAGGCAGTTGGAATGTAAAAAGAAAAAGAGGCAGCAGGCGAATAAGTGATGTACTTGTTAAGAACATGAGCCTTAGGTGAAAAAACTGGCTGCCCTGGGGAGGAAGCACGCCAGAAAGCCTGCAGTTGAGGCTGAAGGGCAGCGGAAACAAGCGGCACCTCATGCGAGCAGCTGCGACTCTTGGCCACATGGAGGCGATCAGGCAGGAACATTGGCTCAGGCGAGTAAGCAGTTCTCACAGAGGGTGTGCCTGGCCCAGACATCTGCTAGACTGCTGCTCACTGGGCGACAGGTAGAGCTCTCCACAAGACACTAAGTCGACCATTCGGGCTCCCACAGAGAAGAGAAATCAAAAGAGGACGGAGCCAGTCTGGCTGGAGTCAGAGTGACTCCTTTAGAAAAGAGAAAGCCAGAAGACAACATCGCACGAGTGAACCCCGTGGAGACAAGGCCAGCAAGGCTAGCAAAGTGCCCACAGACTTCAGAAGGTTCTTCAAAGGTGTTCCCCAAAATATACACACGATTCTGTGGCACATAACTCTGGAACTGAAAGCACCTTAGAAACATAATTTTAACTCCATAATCACAAATAAGCATGGCGAACAAAAATTTGAAAGATTCCACATCAAGCCCAAATGAAGTGTGATTAATAAAGGCCATGGT